GATGAATAATTTTAAATTTATTCATTTTTTTTCTTTCGGTTTTTGTTGCCTATTAGATTATATAATCAAAAATATTTATTGCATGTGTATGTTTTGTGTTTATATAAGTAAGTGTTTGTTTGTTTGTTTGTCTGTCTGTTTGTATTATATACATTTTGAATGCTGTGTATAGCTTTTTATTAATGATGACACATCATTTGGCCTTCATTCAGTTTTTCTTTCTTTCTTTCTTCTTTATCCATTCATTCATTCATTATATTCCGGTCGATGTCTTTTTAAATGTTTTTTATTATTATTATTTTACTCATTGATGCCATCATTATCATCGTTATCATCGTTATTTCCAAAGACATTCATTGATGATTACGATGATGATGATGATGATGATTGTCATTTTGTATGTGCAATCATATTTTTAATACTTTTAATGTTTATAAAGAAGAATTATATGATGATAGATAGAAAAAAAATAATATATATCATCATCATTAGTAATCATCAATGGAAATAGATTGATGACAACGAGAAAAAGAAAATTATAAAGTTAAAATAATGTTTACATAGGGAATTTTTTTAGTCGGCTTAATGTAAATGACTTTAGTATATTTTGGTTATTTCTTTTTGTTTTTTTTGTTTTTTTTTGTTTCACAGTAAAGGATTATTACAACAACATTTGGCAATGAATGTCGTTGATGATGATGATGATGATGATGATAATGATAAGAATCGTTGTATGAAATGAAACTTGAAATGATTGTTTTTTTTTAATATTCAGAATCGATAAAGAATTTGATGAAAATACTGTGGTTGTTATTTATGAATTATCGATTGTTTTTTTATCGATAGTAGTTCATTTACCATTATCGATGAACAATTTTATTCAATTTGTTCAACGAAAAATGAAAATGTAAGGGTTGTTTTTGTATCGTTTCATTTCGATAATAACACCAGTGATTCTAGTCTAGATTTATTTATCTTTTAATTGAAATCTTTGCAACGATATATTAGCATTGGGGATAATGTAAAGAGAATTTATGTGTGTGGGCGGTTAAAACGTCTGTGTGCATGGATGCCATAATTGTTTTCAATAATGAATCTCTTTTCATTCATTATAAAATGTATTAACGCAAAACTACAACATCTTTTTTGTTGATTACAATTTTGATCCATTGTTTTCGTTTTTTTTTTTTGGAAATTAATTTTAGAAAAAAAAATTATGAATTTCACATAATGAATTTTTAAAACATTCGGTAATCTTTTCAAATGTCAATGAGAATGTTATGAGAATTTAATTTCATTTACGACTATACTATATTTTTTTGTTACCATTATATAATATGATGCAAGAATATGGTAATACCGTATTTTATCTGTGTGTATTTGTTTGTTCATAATGCATAACATCTTTGGCTGGGATTTTAATCCAACCATTACATTACAATCATTCATCATTGTAAGTAAAAGTCATTAGCCATCATCATCATCATCGTCGACGTCGTCGATGTTGCTAATGTCGGTTAAGGTCGAATGATATTCAATTTAATTTTTTGTTGGTTGAGATTTTTTTTCTCATTGAAAATGGAATGACTTTTTTTTTGGTTGTTGTTAATAGTTCATTTCATCTATTAGTTACGGTCATATGGTGTTTGTTTGTTTGATTTTTCAATCTCGTTGATGTCATTGTCTTCAATTAAGTTTGTATGTAAAAATTTTACGAAATACGTATTCTGGGGAGACACCAGAATTGTGTATCCAAAATTAAATTGGATTACTGAAGGGAATCTTTCATTCATTCATTAATTTGGATCGGTTCTGGCCAGTGTTGTGGCTGGCTGGTGTTCATTCTTGGTGAATTTGTATGCTTGATCATATCGACAATGGTTTCAACTTTATTCGGTCGATGATTCATGATTCATTTTTGTTTTGCACATCCATTATAGCAACGAATTTCAGACGAAAGAAAAGAATTATTATCCATGTCATATGCAGCATCTGCACAATGTATGAAACAAAATTCTTGCCAATCTAAACGACCATCTCAGCAACAACAACAACCGAATCCAATTTGAATGAAATGGAACACTCCAACATCATACAAACCATTCAATCATTCATGTTTGATGAACATTTGGTTTCGTGGTTTTTCCCATTCACTTTTAGCCAGTTTTTCTTCTTTTTTTGGTTGGTTAGTTGAAAATTCATTCATTTGATTGAAACATATACGGCGTATCCATGGTATGAATTGTTCATTTCCTTTTTCATTTCACAAGAAAAAAATATGGCTAATATTGGTTTTTTTTCACATATAAATGTCAGTTTTGTTGTTGTTGTTGTTGGTGTTCACTCTCTTTATCAAATGTCAACATGGAAAAAAAAGTGCCAAACAATGTGATTCAACCATTTTCAAAGTCATCATTATTTTTTTCAGTTTACATTTTTTTTATATCTCCACTATAGCACCCTGTCCCGGTGACATTTATTTCGGTCTAAATAATGATGATGATGATGATAATGATATCATCATTCTTCTTGTCGATTGAGATGTCGACTATATATTTGTCAATTTTGTGTAATTTTATTAATATCTGGATGGATGGATGTATGGATGGTTGAAAGAGAGAGGGAGATGTTTAAAACATTTTACATGACTATATTATCTGCATATATTTATATGTCATTTATCTTCATTAAATATGATTTTCGCTGGAGAAATTTTCTTCTCTGGTCATTTCAAGAGAAATTCTTCAAATATTCAAAAACTGATGATTTGCAGATCGATTTGATGAAATTGTCAAAACGACAAAAAAATAAAATAAAATCATTGTCACTTTTGTGTGACAATTTGATGCCTGTTGATTTGTTGAAATATAAAAAAAAAATTTCTCAACCAAACAAAATAAACAATCTTTTCTTCACTTGATTATTATTCCGCTGAAAAGTTCATTGTCTTTATATTTCGTGTTGTCGGTATAAATCGACCGGAATATCCATGAAATACACATGTCACATGTCAATCTATCATCATTTTTAATGCAGAAAAGTTTATGTGTGATCGATCATTCTGTGTGTGTGTGTGTGTCTGGTGTGTATTTACCACACGCACAATTATTCATTTATTCATTTTTCTATATGTGTTCCCGGGTTCTAGAGTCATTTTGTTTCATTGACTTTTTTGTTGTATCAATTTTTCTACCCAAAAAATAACGTTTGTTGTTGTTGTTGTCCACAACATTCATTTATGAAAAATGCAGCCAAATAAAGATATTTTTCATTTCATTTTTATTGTTTATGTTTATGTCAGCAGGATTTTATATTCGTTGTCTTTTTGTTGTTGTTTTAATGATGAATGAATTCGTATAAATGTCACGCACACACCATACACACACACACCTATATGATTATTGATCGTTAATTGTCAATTTTTTTCTGTTCTGAACATTGAAAAGATATTATCATTGTTGATGATGATGATGATGACAATATTTTTATTTGATGAGCTAGAAATAAATAAAAGGCTTTTATTGAACAATTTTCAAAAAAAAAACAAAACAATAAAAATTGAGAATGATGACAATGTAATGTCAGGAATAAACAAATTCCTTGTTTAAAAAAATTACTTCCTGATTGATTTTATTTTGTTTTATTTTTTTCTTCTGGTTTGACACACAAATCAATCAATCGATTAGGATTTTTTTTCGAAGATTTAAGAAAAAACTTTTTCGAAAAATGCAGTATATGCAGTCGTTTGTCTATCCGTGTATCCAATTACAATGATTATTGATGTTTTGATGTATCCATATCACATTTTGTTTATCAGTTTGATTGTCAAACATTTAATGATGATGATATTACGTTTTTAATTTTATAGTTTTTTTTTCTCTCTCTTACTCTCTTTATTTCATGATGATTATGATGATGATCTGAATGTACCATCTTTTTTTTGCCAATGATCATTGTCTTGTGAGAATCAATTTTTATTGATTTTTGGTTTCTTCGGTGACTTGACAATATTTTTCTACTAATCAATATGATGTTTTCTGTTTTCTATTGTGTCTACAGGTAGATGTTGATGATGATAATGAATCTTGATCTTTGTCTTTGTTGTCAATTTTTTTTTGGTGATTTTGAAAAAATGAAAATTTTCGTCCACTTGTGGATTATATGAAAAATATGTATGTTATCAATAAGCATGATATGTGTTGTTTTGTCTTAATCATAATCATCATTAATGGTTATCAAAATTTCATTTGAAATTTTGAATTTGAAGTTTTTTTCATATCTTATTGGTTGTTTATTTTTTTCGATATTACCTTGTTGTGATAATTTACTAACCAGACCATCATCATGCTTATAATCATCAACATCAACATTATCACGAGGATTCATTTTCTTTTCAATGTTTTTGTTTATTTTTATCGATATATACCCAATTACATGTACTTATTATTTATTATCATTGATACACACACTCCGAATCAATAAATTTATATATACAAGCCATATGTGTCAGTGTTGATTATTAAATGACAAGGGTTAATATTTTTCTTTGACCAGAAACAATAATGTTTTCACTATGTCTGTTTTTTTTTACATATCATAAATATTATTGATCCATTTTTTCCATCTTTTTCATTCATTCATTTATTTATTACTTCGTGGTAGATGATAATAATAATAATAAAAAAGGTTTCATTTTTTTTCCTACAGCATAATTCGGTAGAAAAAGTCTTTGATGATGATGATGATGATGATTGAAAAAGGTTACCATCATAAAGTTTTTGCTTGGTTTGTTGTTTGTTCATTGAAATTCAAATGATGTCGATGATTATTTGAAGATATTTTTATGTTCATAATGATATGAATGAGTTTTAAATTTAAATTTTTTTTTGCATAAAAAATGAAATAAATTTTATTTTTTCTATTGAATTTTCAAAGATAAAATCTAACTGTTCTCATTTTTTGTTTTTTGTTTTTTTTTCGTTATAGATAAAATCCATACACAATGGAAAATGATGATAATATAAATAATCGAAGAGGAAGAAGAAGAAAATCAGACAACATGATGATGTCGTGGATGATAAATTTAATGGCCATTATTTGGTCAATAACAATAATAATAGTTAAAGTGGATGGTCTTCAATCACCACCAACAATGATTAAACAACCACAACATGAAAAATTATTTGAAGTATTTCAAGGTTCAGATGCTGAACAAGCTGAAAGACCATTTGTACTTGAATGTGAAGCTAATGGAAATCCTGAACCAACATATTCTTGGAAAAAGAATGGTATCGAATTTAGTTATGTTGCATATGATAAACGTATTACACAACAACCAAGACGTGGTTCGTTAGTATTTACTAAACCACAAGCAATTGATGAAGGTCTTTATCAATGTTTTGCTGAAAATAAACATGGTCGTTCGGTATCGAATGCTGTTTATTTGAAAAAAGCTGAATTAAATTCATTTTCAAGTAATGACATATCTGTTTTACATGCAATGGAAGGTGAACCATTTACAATACCATGTCATCCACCTACTGGTTATCCAAGACCACAAGTATTTTGGATTATACAATCCGATTCTGGTGCATTGATTAACGGTATTAATTCATCTCGTCTTTCAGTTGATCCAGAAGGAAATCTACATTTTTCAAATTTAACACATAAAGATACACTAACTGATGCTGTTTATGCTTGTAGTGCAACATCAACATTCAAAACAACATATCGTATTGGACGTCGTACAAGATTAATTGTTGAACCATCCGGTGCAATAGGTCAAACTAGTTATCCACCAACAAGACAATATGCATCACCACCGAATGTACCAGCATTGAAAGGAAAACGATTAGATTTATATTGTATATTTGGTGGTACACCTATACCCGAAGTAACATGGTATAAACGAAATGGACGTATTCGTGAAGGTGTTACGAAAACAAATTATGGCAAAACATTAACATTTCCAAAAGTAGAATTCAATGATGAAGGTATCTATGAATGTACAGCATCCAATGGTGTTGGTTCAATACAAACACATGCTATGGAAGTTGTTGTCAAATCGATACCATATTGGATTGAAGCACCAAATAATACGAATGCTGCCGATACTGAAACAGTTACATTTCGTTGTAATGCTGCCGGTGTACCTGAACCTAAATTACAATGGTTTAAAAATGGTGAACCATTAGTATCGAATGATCGTATACGTGTAAATGGTGATGAATTGACAATAACTAATGTACAAGAAATTCTTGATACTGCCGTTTATCAATGTAATGCATCAAACGTTAATGGTTATGCATTTAGAGATTTTTATCTGAATGTATTAAAATTACCACCGGAAATTGTTGATCCACCTGAAAAAGAAACACGTGCTGTTGTTACATCTGATGTTATACTTAAATGTCGTGTATTTGGTGCACCAAAACCTGAAGTGAAATGGGAAAAAGATGATACACCATTGAATGGTGCCAATTATGAAGTACTTGACGATGGTGATCTGCGAATCCATGATGTTCGTGTAACCGATCAAGGAAAATATAAATGTATTGCGACAAATAAATTTGGCACCAGATTTGCATCGGGTGAATTGAAAGTGAAAGGAAAAACAAAAATTATTCATGCACCGGAAAATTATGAAGTGGCTGCCAAAAAAACTGCCGTATTTCGTTGTAGTGCTGAAGCTGATCCAAGTTTAGATCTAAAAATATCATGGACATTCAATGAACGTCCAATCGACACTGCACATGATCCGAGAATTGTTCAATCAACAGATAATTCATTGACCATTACAACAACAAAAGAATTAGATTCCGGTCTTTATACATGTATTGCAAGTACTGAACTTGATTCTGTGAATGCTTCAGCTACATTAACTGTACAAGATGTGCCTAATTCACCAAAAATAATTAGTGTTGTATGTGAAGGTCTTACCGCTATGGTTGAATGGATACCTACAGGTGATAATCGAGCTCCAGTCTTATCATATGATATCCAATATAATACATCATTTCAGCCGGATAATTGGCTTAATGCATTTACAAATTTACCTGGACCGGATACAAAATTAAGAGTAGCCATGAGTCCATGGTCGAATTTTACATTCAGAATGATTGCTAAGAATAAAATTGGTCCCAGTGAACCAAGTAAACCTCATGGATTTTGTTCAACAAAAGAAGATGTTCCATATAAAAATCCTGATAATGTTGTTGGACGTGGTGAACAACCAGGAACATTAGTAATACGTTGGACACCAATGACACCAATTGATCATAATTCTGAAGGTTTTTATTATAAAGTATCATGGAAACGACATGATATTGAAAATGATTCATGGCAAAGTCGTCAAATAACGGATTGGAAACAGAATCATTTAACGATTGAAAATCAACCAATATTCAAACCATATCGTATTAAAGTCCAAGCACATAATCGTCGTGGTGCTGCACGTTCTGCAGCTGGTGAAGTAATTGGTTGGTCAAGTGAGGCTAAACCATTACGATCACCGGAAAATTTTCGTGTTATTGAAGTACGTGATCATAAATCAGCATTAATGGCTTGGGATCCAGTAACATCAGATTCTGTACGTGGACATTTTCAAGGTTATAAAATCCAAACATATGCAGTTGGTGAAGATATAAAATTAATGCGTGAAGTAAAAATACCACCAAATGTTTCGAGAAGTTTGGTACAGATTTTCAAACCAAATTCACGAAATATTGCCCGAATTTTTGTGTATAATTCAATGTATATGAGTGATCCATCAAATGAGGTTGTTATCAATACACCGGAAGGTGTTCCCGGTCCTGTATCATCATTCGAAGGTGTTTCAATGGGATCGAATGCTATTTACTTGTATTGGTCACCACCCGATGAACCGAATGGAAAAATTACCGGTTATCGTATTTTCTACGAAAGTGTTGATGGCACTGAACTTGGTCCGAAACAAGAACGATTTCCACAGATTGATGATCCAAAAATTACCGGTGTTAAACTTGGCAATCTATTACCCGGTACAAAATATCGTGTCACAATTCATTCTGTCACTAAAGTTGGTATGGGCGAACCATTCTTCATCGAATTGGAAACAAAAGGAGAGGATGCAGCTGCACAACCGGATAAACCGGTTTTCGACATTGATCATGTACGTGCTAATGATGGAACTGATCATGTAAAAATAACTTGGTATCCTAATTCCTCTAAAATACCGGGCAATAATTTCTATGTACAATATCGATTAAAAGGTTTGTTTTCAATTTTAATTGTTCAGATAAAATGACTGATTTTTTCTTTGTTGTTTGAAAGTATAGGAACCAATTCATTTTTCAGCACTCCAAGAGATGAAAATCAAGATTCAACAGTGGTTTACATTAGTGGATTGGATCCGGATAAAACTTATGAAGTAAGAATTGTTGCTGTTGATGGTAAATATGAAACACCGAGTGAATTAAAAGAAGTAATACCAAGTGGTAAGTTTCTATTGATTCAATAAGAATCCTAATTATTAATTATTTATATTATAGGCATGTACGGTATGGATCCAATTGGACATATTTCTAATTTTGCACCTTGGTTCATATCAATGATGTGTGCAATTGCATTGTTAATTGTTGCTGTTGTTCTTGTCTGTATTGTTAAACGTAATCGTGGTGGTAAATATTCTGTACATGAGAAAGAGGTTGCCCATGGCAAAGATGATTATGAAGAAGCCGGTTTTAATGAATATAATGTTGAATATAATAAACGATTATCAGCATTTCCACGTGGTGGTAGTCGTCATTCAATGAATAGTAGCCTAAATCCTGAAAGCGATGAAGATTCAATGGCCGATTATGAAGCGGATAGTTCAAAATTTGGTGAAGATGGATCATTCATCGGAGAATATGGTAATAAATTAAATTTTCATTGAATATCATGATAATAATTGATTTCTGAATTGATCAGGTCCAAAGAAAAAACGTGATGATGTTCAATCACCAACTGGAATTGCTACTTTTGTTTAATTGTGTTCGTATACAACACAATATCGACAACAATTATTTCAACTGCCAGAATCTTTATCGCCTTATCCAAAATTATTAACTTTCAAGAAAACAATGAAGTCAAGTTGTGATTATTATTATTTTTTTGAAAAATGGGTTCCATGAATTTTTATTTTTTATTTCAATTTTCGGAAAATGTGCTGGGAAAGACAACGAAATGACCAATTATTGAGCTGATTCTCATCCGATTTTTTTGTGATTTTAACTGAAAAGAAAAAAATCAGATGATAACCATGAAATAACCTCAAAGTTTTACGAAATTACTGATTTTTTTTCATTTGGACATTTGCTGCTATTTATTATCGTTGAATGATTACTGAATTAAAAAAAAAACAAAAGACGATAATTGACATTCCAAATGTGTATTTTTGTGTGTAGCTATTACAAACAAAATTATTTGATATAATTTTTGAATATTTATTGCTAATGATTTTATCAATTCTATTTGTTTTTTTTTGACATCATTTTCAACTTTATATTGATTCTTTTTTTTTATATCAAATGTAATTCCAGCTCAAACCACTTCTATCCAATGATTTATATTATTATTATCAATCATTTTCAAATATCTAATATATTGATTTGAGGCAACTTTTTTTTTCTCACACAATTGAAAAACAAATCACAACACAAAACTAAATGAAGAAAAAGAAATTAAAATCTGTTGCATATTTTCACATCACTATCATCATCATCATCACCACATCAACACTGCATAGATCTCATTATATATTTATATGATTGTAAAGCAGATTTTAAAAAAAATAATAATTTCCCTTGATTCCCCTTTCATAAAGCTTTAAACATTTTACACCGGTAATATTATTATACATTTATAACATAAAAATTTATCTGTCATTGATGTTTTCAAGAAAAATTTCTAATTTTTAAATTGTAAATAAATGAAAAATTTCGGATGGAAATTTTATGATTGAAAATTCTGTATTTGAAATGATATTTGATTTTGGAGAAAAAACTTTTTTACATATATAAAAAAGATCGATATTCGTTATAAATGTAAACATAAATTTTTTTAATATTTATCTATATTTGATGATTGTAACAAACGAAACAAAAAACAAAAAATGAAATTATAATAAAAAATTTTACATTTAAAATTCAATCACTATCGTCATCTGAAAATGATGCTAAAATATCGTCAAGTCGTTCATCATAATTATCACCATCATGATCACCACGAAGAAAATGAAATTGTGATGATGTTAATTCATTATCATTATCTTCCATCATGATTTGTTTGATAATATCATCGCCAAAATCATCATCATTATCGTTATCAAAGTCATTATTTGGTTCAATGTTTTCAGTTTGCATAAGATGATCACTGGCATTCGCGGATTGATTTGATATTGGTGATGGTTGTTTATCACTTGGTTGATTAGAAGATGAATGAGATCGGGTAGCAGAAGTGATGCCGGAGCTTGAGATATGTTCACTTGATTGTTGTTCCATTGAATCTTCGGAAGAGGTTGGAGGAATAGCAGAAGTAGTGACAGAGCTAAAAGTAGAGATAGAGTTTGAAGCATGTTGATTTGATTGTACTTGCATTAGTTCATCAGGAGGTGATGAATTTGTAATACGACTGATTGTAGAATTCAAAACATGATTGGATTGTTGTTCCATTGATTGATTCATTGGAATTTCTTGAGAAGTACGCGTATCTAGACTTGTGTTTTGCATAACACTACCGGATGATGAATCATCAACTATTCGGCGAGTTGTTCGAAATGTAGGTGGCACCGGTCGTTGAGTACTTGTTTCCAAATCAATAGTGGCCATGATAATTGAAGCCGAACATCCATTGGAATTTTTAAACGTGAATTCAATAGGATTTCCATTTGATTGTAAATAAGCCGAAATAATTCTGTTACGATGAACGGCAAAATCTAAAAATGCACGAAGATCTCTTAAATCGAATGCATTAGACATTTCATTTGTATAGTTATAGAACGAATCATTCGTATTAAATAAAGCGGATGATACGCAAAATTCGGTCATAGGTCCTTCATAATCGTTTTCATAATATGTTTTAAAACTTAAATGATCACGAAATGTCCAGAAAATTATTTCATCAGCAGATAATGGAAATGGTTTAAACAATTCAAACATAGTATTAGCATCACATTGTAATGTTGGTTTTGACATTTGTCTTGATATAGGTACCGGGCAACGTTTATGATCATTATTTTCCAAAATCGGTATCGAAAATATACGTTTTACACGATTAGGACATTCCATACGAAAATTAATACGATCCATTGAATTATCCATTACAATTTCACAACTGTTGGTTATTTTATCTGTTGAATATAGTGATTAGTGATGAAATAATCAACATCATCAATACAAACCTAAACAGGCAACTCTGAAAACTAATCCAATTGAACGTATATCAACTTTACATTCGAAATCATTATCATTTTGGAATGATTGAAAGAAATCTTTTTCAAAAACGACCTGACAAAATACAGTATCTTCGGCGTTTATTGATTGTAATATAAGACTATCTTCAATGGCCAGAATTTTTATCTGATCAGAATATTTAGACATTAAACGAATCGATTTAGATAATGTACGAAGATTTATTCCAATAACTGTAGATTTCATTATCAAAACATTAATTTTATCAGAATTCAAAAGAAATAATTTAAAAATGATGAAATCACGCCAAATTAATGAATTTGTTTAAAAAAGTGAGGGAAAAAAAAGACATAAAAATTCTTGGAAAGATTTCATTGGTAATTGAAAGTTTTCGGAAAAGTTTCTTTGAATTCATAATGATATACAGCGAAAAAATCGATGACAATTATTTATGGCAAATCGATTTGTATCTAATTTAAATTCAAACAATATCATTTAATTATTAGGTTAATGTTGTCTTGTTTTGTTTCTGTAGATGATAGTTTCTATGACAAAAATTGTAATCGAAAATGTTATACAAAAAAACCAAATTGAAAATATGGTAGTAAAATCAACCAAACGTAATTGTGTCCATTCAATTTTTTCGGATGGATAATGTAATCGTGTGGCTTGTTGTGGATAAGCTTTGGGATTAGCAATTTTTACATTCATAAAAATTTTATGCATCCATTTTTGAAATAGGCCCATTTTTTGAAACCATTTTATCCTATGGGCAAAAGTTGTTTGTGTAATGAATGTTTTAGATATTTGAACTTTTCAATTAAATTACTTACTGATGATTAAATGGTTTGAATAATGGAGAATGTTTTGGAAATGCCATTGCATAACTATCCTGATTAAAATATTCCGAACCTATTAATAATGGTTTTTGTGCATATAAAATTTGTAGATATGATAATAAAAAATGTTCGGCAACAAAAATATTTCGATTATCACTTTGAACAAAATCGATTCCATCATAATGACTGAAAATGTTCACTGAATTTTTGTTTCTGCATAAAATATATGAATTGAGAAAAAAAAACAATAAACAAATTAAAATTTTGTCAACTAATTTACCTTCGAATATTCATTCCAAGCCAATAATAAGGTCCTCGACGAGAATTCATTGCTAAATCCATTAACGAACTTAATTTTATTGTTTGTGCATTAACAGAATTTTCACTTAAAGCTTTTACTAGATTTTCGATCGTATCTATTGGCAAATCATATTCGGATATATTTAATATAGCAAAATATGATCCACAATAATATGGTGTCAAAACGCTCATTGCAATCATTAAACCCATATAAAGAATACGTATTGGTGTTGATTGTTGACTGCTAAAATTTACCGTTTGTCTAAGCGAAATGGCACAAAGTTTCATTGTAACATTTTCGATTGAACGATTATAAATTTGTTTGGTTATAAATTTTATTAAAATCCAAACAATTATGAATGAAAACCAAATTGCTAGCCATAATTCCCATCCAAATGGTTGTATTAATATATTTTTATTTGTTGAAGTTTTAGGATGTTGTAAAATGAATGCAATATGATCCATAAAAATATATGAACTAAAATCAATAACTTTATGACGTAAAAATGTTGTTGATATTGCACAAGTTCCAACATCAGCATATCCATCCATTAATAATCTAACCGTACCAGTCCATGTTTGATTTTTATATGTTCCCCAATCCTGTTCAGCATTGACAAATTCATATGTAAAATTCCATTTTTTAGCCATTGTTTCTACTAATAATAGATCAACCGATTTATCAGCATCCATTGTAATTTTTCCATTACCCAAATCAATGATTGAACATATTGGTACTACCTAAATGTTTGAATATATTTGTTTATGATGAGAAATTTTTCACTTTTCAAATATTTCAATTTTTTTCACTCACATCATTGATAGCAATTTTAATCAATGATTTATTCAGATTACATTGTTTATATGAAATTTTCATTCGATCAAAATCAAATTTAGTTTTTGGTAAATAAATACCGTCATACAGTTTACAACCATCAAGTACTGGACGAAAATGTATTACAATTTGATTATTATAATTAGGATGATCATCATCATTATTGCTTATTAATGTTAATCGTAATTTTTGATTCAATTTTTTAATAGAATTTTCTGAAAACCATCCAGTTAAATTATGAATTGATTGTGAAAAAATTCCAATCAATGGTAAACAATTTGTACAATTAACATAAATTTTTCCCATTGATTCCAATAAATATTCAAACATTGTCATATTTAATTGATCTGATGATATCATATTGAATATTAATAACCAATTATTAAAACTTAATTGTTTATTACGGATTTTTATTGTTGATAATAAAGTTTTTGCATCATAATTATTGAACAATTCATATTTACAATGATGATGTTGAAGAAAATTGCTTACCAAACCTGATGATCGCCAATCTGACATTAATGATGATGATGATGATGAATCATTTTTTTGATCTACTGGATAATAATGAAAATTTTCAATCACAATAATGGAAATAGTTTTATTATTTTCATTTTGTTGACATAAATCAATCAAATAATTCCATATTGTTTGATCACCAATAAATGTATTAAAATTTTCTTTATATCCTAATGAATGTATAGAATTTTGATTAATAATAATCTTGAACATGATGATTAAAATAATGTTAAAAATTTGATTACAAATCATCATTGTTGTTCCATTCGTTTCGACATTTATTTGATATTGAAAAATTTCAACAACAAAACAAACTTTTAGATATGTGTCATTCAAACAAAACAAAATGATATCGATTTCAATTAATCGACAATGATATTTATAATTTGTTGTTGTTGTTGTTGTTGTCATGAGAATAATTATTGTTATTGAAATTTAATTATAGGTGTTTGGTGCGAAAAACATTCATCTAAATGTGTTTGTGTGTGTGTCTTATTTTTGTTTAAATGAATTTGAATGACGGATATTGAATTATTCATCATATTTACCATGATGAAAATTTTACATCGATAATAAACATCATTTATGATTGTGAATTTTATGGATAATCATTTCAATTAGAAAAATTATAACTGAAATTATTAATCCTAATGTCCATGAATGTATGATTGCTTCGTAATCATCTAGATCAAGTGATAAAAAACGATCGAATGATGGTGGCGATGATGTCGATATTATTGTCGATGATAATGACCATTTTCGAAATCTTCGTTGAAATCGAATTGCTTCTAAATAAGATGGCTTATTTGCTAATTTCGTTGAACGATATACATCACGAATCCATTTCCGATATAGACCTCTTTCGTGTGTTAATAAAATTCTAAATTGAAAAAAAATTATAAATCAATTTTTAGAATAATAATAATAATTTTGTTTCTGATCACATTTCTCAAACAACTAAACTGATAACTTATTGGTTTGAATAATGGTGAATGTTTTGGAAATGAAAATGCAACCATATCCATTTGTAATGGTTGTGTACCGATCCAAACACTTTTAACTGCATATGCTCTTTGTAAATAATAAAGAATAAGTTTGTGACTAATAAAAATATATTTTGAATTTGATTGAACCAAATCGAGTCCTGAAATATCATCCAAAACTTCTATATGTTTTTTCCTGTAGTTTAATTCGAAATATCAAGAATTTAAATATAATCTTCATACAAATATCACTAATATAACATACTGGTTTATATTTTCATTAATCAAATATAAAGGACCATTTTCTGGTTGTAAATTTTTAATAAAATTCATTATTTCACTTGATCGTTGAGCAATCAATGTATGTGTTCCTTGTTTAACAAGATCAACAATATCATCAACCGTATCAATATGTTTAGCATAATGTGCTGTATTCAATTGTAAATAATATGCTGCCGGAAATAACATTAGAACAATCATCATTGAAAACATTGTACAAAAATATGTAATACGCATCGATATCGGTTCTGGATGGTCAAATTTGATTGCTATTTGAAACAACAACAACATTATATTATCATCAAATTAACAAGAAAAAAACAAATCTAACCTCGATTCAAATAAATCGCTGTTAATTTCAATGATATTGATAAGTTCTTCTTCTTCTTCTTTGATCTGGATGATTGATAACGATTCATTCGTAACCATGGATAAATTTTACAATCAATAAGATAAAGAAAAATCCATACAAAAATATATGATAATAAAATGGTTATCCAATTTTGTAATGGAAATGATTGAAATAATAACCATTTTCGTGATAATTTTTCTGGAAATTTTGTTAAAAATCCAATACTATCAATAAAGGTAAAAAAACTAAAATCAACAATTAAACTTCGTGAATAAGTATGAGAAATTCCACACATTCCCATATCGACTGTTTTATTTTTTATCAAACCAATCGAACCGGTCCAAATATTATTCTCAAAAGTACCCCAATCCTGTTGTGAATCAATAAATTGATAACTAAAATTCCATCGTTTTGCTAAAATTTTCAACAAACGTAAATCAAGTGAATGATTTAGATCCATATCTATTGTTCCATTGCCATTTATTTGTTGTTGTTTTTTGATTGAACAAATCGGAATCACCTGGTCATATCGGTGTGAATTATTTGTGTTAGTTTAAAATTCATCATTTTTTTCATGGGTCTTACATTGTTTACAGCAATTTTAATCAATGTTTGATTGAAATTACATTTTCGAAATGAAATTTTCATTCGATTAAAATCATTTACGGTTTGAGGATGATAAACATTGTTTAGCAAATAACAACCATCTAAAATTGGACGAACATGAATAACTTGTTGATCATTTTGATCATCATTATCCAGTGAGTAATCATTTAATACGATTGTAAAACGAAATCTTTGATCAAATAAGTCAAAACTATCGATTAACCATTTTATTAATTGTTGTAGTAATTGTGGATGAATCAATATGATTAATGGATAACAATCAATACATTGAACATGAACATATTCTAATGATCGAATCATTTCGAGAAATTCATATTGATTTAGATCAATAGATTGATGTAATAAATCAATAATACATAAAAGACCATAATTTTCAATTAATTCAGCATGTTTATTCAATTGAATTAATAAATTTTTCGAATCAATATTGGCCAAATGTTTAAATGAGCAATTAATTTGTTGTAAAAATTTACGTACTGAACTTATCTGAGTCATCGAAGATGATGTAATATTTGAAAAATTAAAATTTTCAACCAAATTTAAATGAAAATTATTATGATAATGAATTGCTTGACAAGAATCACGTAAATATTGACCAAAACTTTGATCACCAATAAAATATGGATTGAAAACAGTAAAACAATTTAACTGATTGATAGTATTGATCATGATGAAAATTGTCATCCATAATTGAATTTTATAGACAAACATTTTTCTCCATTAAAATTTTTTTTTTCAAATGCTCAAAACATGTACAGAACAACCAAACGCGATATCAACGGCAAACAAAAATGGAAACCCGAAACATTTCCAACAACAAAGAAAAAAAATGTCATTAATATGGTGTGTGAATGTCAAAGAATATCATGAATAATTTAACATATCAAGCAAGGATATTGGGAAATTTCAGTATAAATCACGGGAAAAATTTCTGATAAAAACATTATCGATATTTTGTTTTTTAATGGTAATATTTTTCCAGGTTATTATAAATCATAAAATCAATGTTTCAAAATTGAATTTTTTTCCAGTAAATCATAAAATATTCTTGTTTCAAATGTTGTTTACGTTGTTAAGGAATTTGTTTTCTCTATATTGATTTTTTTCAGTTTTTTTCCTAAAGATTTGTTATTATTCAAACATTTTATCTAAAATTCCAGGTGATTTGGTTGTAAATTTCATAACAATTTCTAACAAAAATATTAGAAAAGAATATGATAATCCAATCGACCAGATGATAAATATTGAACCAAGGTCATTGATTTGTAAACCATCGATTGCTAATGTTGTTTTTGTTGTCAATGCTTGAATAGATGAAATGGAATATTCTTCAATATTTGCCGTTTCTGATAATATAATCAATTTATTTAGCCAATGTTGTTTGAAACCAAAATAGCTGCATGCGCTAATTCTAATCGTTGAAATGAAAAACAAATTTACAACATGATTAGATACAAAAAAACAACAACTTACATTGAATTAAATGAATCAAAAATAGGTGATCTTCTTGTAAATCCGACAGTTAAAAAATCATTGGCCAAAATATCATTACTAATGAGCATTGCTTTTTGTGCATATGTTTTCAATAGAAATTTGAATGCTGCTCTTGATTCGATTAATATGAATCGTGAATCCTGAACAATTCTATCAAATCCTTCTTCTAATTGTGCAACATTAAAACGTTCGTTTTGTGCTAAATTAGCACCAATAATCTTAAAATCATCACTTTCGATATTTTTCAAATTCATTACAATACTACCATCAAGGGTGAATAAATAATGATCCATTTTTTGTGTTACTTTGATTAAATCATTTTTAGTCAATAATGGATCATCATATTGTGGTAATGCAAGAAATGTATAATATTCTGTTGAATATGCTATAACAAGTACCATATTACCAACTATCCAACCGATTAAAATCATACGTTGTTTCAAAGTTGTTTTCATTACAACATGAGCATCTGAATTGGAAAAAAAAGATTTTTTAATGCAAAAGTCTATAAAAAAATATTTACGTTGATTAACAATAATGGCCAACAATTTTAACCAAATCGATCGATATGATAATGAAATATTCTTATGATTATAATTATGATTAATTTCCCATTTTGAAATAAAATAAAGAATATAAGAAACTATTATGAATACAATGATCATTGTAAACCAAAGTAAATGAGAAAATGGTTCCAAAACTAGCCATGATCTTGATCGAAGTTTTGGAATACGTGATATGAATGCAATTTCATCAACCATTCTTACTTCACTATAATCAATAAATAATGATCGATCATATGTAATGGAAAAACCACCAATGGCTAAATCGGCAGACTGTAGGAAAATTACAGAATTGATAAATGAAAAAAAAATTCAACAGGTTTTCATAAAACAAATATAACAAACCCCATTGATTAGATGATTAACCGAACCGGTCCAAACACCATTTTCATATTTACCCCAATTTTGAAAACCATCGATTAATCGATAACGAAAATTTGTTTTTTCAATCAAAAGTTCAATAAGATTTTTTTCAATACAAGGACCAAATTCAATATAATTTTCATGATAATGTATATCACTGTATGGATTAAACTTTGAAATTTAAAAATTTTTTATTAATGGTAAATTGAGCAAAACAAAACAAATTATAATTCAATTGACTTACATCATTAATAACAATATTAATTAAGGTTTGATTAAGATCACATCGTGATGATGAAATACGTAAATGATTAAAATCTTGTTCAGTTTTTGGCCAATAAATTTCATTCAATTCAAGACAACCATTTATAATTGGTCTTAAATGTAATACTTGTTCGTACGATTCATCATAAAACGATATAATCGTACAACGAAAACGTTGATTTAACCATCGAATCGAATCAGATAGCCAATCATATAAAAATTTAATTTCATAACGTAATAGAAAAATTATTGGAACACAATTTATACAATCAAGATAAATATTCTGTGATAATTCAAATAATTCACTAATATTTGTATGAATTGGTGATAATGAATCGATAAGAATTAATACTTTACGATAACGATATTTTTGATCATTATTGATTGATATTTGTGTTGATTCGAATGAATCAAAATAATCATATGGACAATTGTTATTATTGAAAAATGTTTTTAAATTTAAATCATTATTCTTCCAGGAATGATTATTATGATTATTATCAACAATAATAATGTATAATTTTTTAATTTCAAAATTATTACATAAATCATTTAGATATGATTGTAAATTTTGATCACCATAAAAATGAACAAATTGTTTTGATGATTGTATACAATTAACGGATATTATTATAAATGATAATAATAATAAAATTTTTGAAAAATATAATAATGATGATGATTGATTTATTATTCTGATCATTATTTTGTAGAAATTGATGAAAATCATAATAAATAATAATCTAATATGATGAAATTCATTCAATATCATTTTTTGAATGTAATAGAATTGTTGTAGAAAAGAATCTAGGTTCAATATTGAAGAACAAAAAAAGAAAAAATTTTCTCAAAATACGAATCAATCATCATCGTCATATACAGACATGGAATTTTTCTATTAACCCTTGTTCGTTGCTCTGACTTGAAACGATCAATCAAATTGCTATTATTAAGTTGCGTCAAATGAGAAATACACACACACAATCTCGGATGAAAAGAAGAAAGCAAAACTAAAATGTTGAGAAAAAACAATTAATCGGAATTTGATTGGAAAACAAAAGGATAATAATCAATGTATCGATTATTATGAATAGGAGGAAATTCATTTGCAATTTCTTCTATCATTTTTGTTGTTCATTTCTGCAATATTGTTTTTGTCAAAAACGAGTGGGAAGCCAAAAAATTATTCTGAATTTTAAGATTTATCCGATTTGATTTGATTGTTGTTGTTGTTTTCCGTTGTTGTTTTTAAATTTTATTCATTAAAATTTTTTTCTTCGATTCATTTTCTTCATTTTGTTGTTGTTGTTTACGATCATTTTTATGTAAATGAATTTTTGTATAATTTCAATCAATATTATCAACGATGAAACAATTAATCCTATTGACCATACAATAAATATTGATTTAATACTATTCATATCAAGACCATCGGTATCGATTGTTGTTTTAGGTATTCCAATCATCGATAATGAATATGCATCATGATTGGCAGTATTTGTTGATTGTATTACTTTGTTTATCCAATATTGAATGAAACCATTTCGAATTAATATTCTAATTCTATTTAGGCAAAATTTGAGAAACGAAGTAAATATATCAAATTAATAATCAGATAATTTTATCAAAATAGACAGATACATACAAACGATTAAATGATAAAAATATTGGTGAACGTTTACTGAAACCAATACCAAAATAATCATTGGCCATATTATCTTGGCTCATAAGCATTGCTTTTTGTGCATAATTTTTAATCAAATATTGAAATGCTGTTTTTGATTCAATCAATACATAACTTGAATCATTTTCCATTTTATCGAATCCATATTCTAATACGGGAACATTTTCATCAGAATTTTTTCGTATATCTTTAATAATATCCGAAAAACTATCATTATTAATACTATATTCTAATACAATACTATGATTAAGTGTAATCGATTTACGTTCACCGGTTTTGATAGCATCGATTAAATCGATATTTGTTAGCAATGGTCGATCATATTGATGTAAAGCAAGAAAAGTATAGAATTGTGTAGAATAAAGTATACTGATTATCATACTTCCAAATATCCAACAAATAAATATGATACGTTTTTCATAAATTCTTGTATTGAGAACATTGGTTTCTATTTAAGAAAAAAAACAAACAAATACAATTTAGAAAAGATAATGTCTAAAGAGTAAAACACAACAAACAAAAACTTACGTTGATCGACTAGAGTTGCAAATAATTTTAACCAAATTAAATGAAACGGTGACGATTCATTATTACCATTGAGAAACATACGATTAGAAATTAAATAGACAATTATAGAGATGAAAAAAAGTGAAATCATTATCATCAACCATACTGGCCATGTAAATGGTTCAATTACAAGCCATTCTCTTGTTTTTAATTTTGGAATTCTTGATATGAATCCTACTTCATCGATTAGATAAACATCACTGTATTCAATAAATTTAAGACGTTCATATAGAACCGATATTGAACCCATAGCTAGATCACCAGTCTGAATCGGGGAATGAAAACCATCAAAAAATTTCATTATCTTCTTTCTTTTCTTGTTTGTACTTTTCAAATTACCTCATTGACAAGATATGCAACCGAACCTGTCCAAGTACCATTCACAAATTTACCCCAATTTTGTTTTGCATCAATAAATTTTGGATGAAAATTAAATTTTTCTGCCATTGTATCGATAATATATTTTTCCACTGATGTTGTCATTTGTATTTCCGTACCATTTTCAATCATTCGACAGAATGGTGTAAACTGTATCAAAAGAAAAGAAATACATTTATCATTCACAATTCATTCAAAATAAATAAATTATTATCATTATACAAACATTATTCAAAACAATTTGTATATCGGTTTGATTAAGATTACATTTTAATGGTGAAATATTTAATCGTTGAAAATCATTTAATGATTTTGGCCAAAATATACCATCATATTGATTACAGCCGTCGATTGTTGGTCGTAAATGCATGACATTCATCATTGTATTCGAATCGTTGTTGTTGTTGTTGTTGTTTGTGGTCGATACTAATGAACAACGAAATCTATGATCCATTTTAATTGAAAATTTATCAAACCAATCATATAGTAATTGAATATCATAATGTAATAATAAAATAATTGGTACACAATGAGCACAATTTAGATAAATATTCTGTATTATATAAAAATATTGTTGAATAATAATTTTATAATTAAAAATCTGTTCATCATTATTATTATTATTATTATTATTATGGATAAAATCAATAATAATTTGAATATTACGATAATAATATTTAATATTTGTTGATATTTGTTGTTGAGCTAATTGTAAATTATCAAAATAATCAATTGGACAATTATTTTTGATAAAAAATTGTTTCTTTGATTGTTGTCGTTGTTCAACATTTGTAATATTTGTTTCAATAAGAATTATATAAAATTTTTCAATCTCTAATTGTTTACATAGATTCAATAGATATGACCATATATTTTTATCACCTAAATATGGATGAAAATTTTTTGATGTTGTTATCGATATAACAAACGTATGAAATGAATAAATTGTTATAAATGTAATGATGATAATTCGTAAAGACATTATTTGAATATTGATGATGATGATGATGATGATGATGACAAATGAATTGAATGAATGAATGATTTCACAAGACAGGGAAAAGCAATTGAAATTGCAAAAGAAGAAGAAAAAGAATATTCAGGAATCAACTAAATAAACTTCTATTGGAACCAATGGTAATACCCAATGGGTATAATTAATTTTTGTTTTATTTTCTTCTACCGTTGCTGTTGTTGTTCCAAATATTCAATCAATTTATGAAAACAAAATTCACAAAAATTACTTTATCATTATTTATTCAAGTGCAATATTTTTTCGGCTTTTTTTTCGATTTGAAATAGACAAAATATTCTTGTCAAAACCACCACCACCACCACAGACTTAAATCACGAGGAAGATTCATTCATTGAAATAAGAAAAAAAATCGATTTATCAATCTTCATAGTTGAATAATAAGAATATAAGGATACGTTAATATTTATCCTTTTGCAGCTACGGCTTCTAATTGTAAATCAGGAATGTTGCTTATAAGAATAATAACAAAACATTGTTTGTAAAATAGATTTAATGAAGAAAGATTAACAAAATAAAAAACAATAACAAATTACAACATGCATGAGATGTACCAGCATGCGGATGAGGTGATTGTGTCTGAGCACCATCATGTCAATGAGGCTTCTGAACACCTTCATATCGAACAAGGATTATTCAATGTGTTTAAATACAAAATTATGTGTGACAATTATTGATGATCTTAGCAATGTACAAATGATTAGCCGAATAGGCTAAATCTCTAAATCAGGCGATGATCGATATCACCTTATCAGAACCATTAAACCAAGTCAGCACAAAACTTGTTGTCAAGCCACGTAGACAATCAAGGATTTACACATCCTTACAAGAATATAACGAAAAAGGAAAACAAAAAAAAAATAATGATATTTATCACAATGGAGAAAAAAACCAGAAAGCGAAAAAACCAGAAATAAATAATAATAATAATCATTATTTAGAAAATTCCATAGTAATTGGAAATTTTCTTTCATCATTATTCCAAGTATTTCATCACCACATCAACAATTGAAAATATAGTAAAAATAGTATTTTCCATTAGAAATGTCAAAAAGTGAAGGAAATTTATTTACAAATTTTATGCGGAAAAAATTTTGAAAATTCGTTCAACATTCGATTCGAATGTTTTCCAAAACCAACTTCCTTTACTGATTGAGCGACTCGAAAGATGGCAGCAGTAGTGATGTAATAGTGTTGGAACCAAAAAAAAAAAAAATTCTTCGAACGACCAACAAAAACATTCGAATGTTTTTTTTTTGTTGAAAAATTCCAAATTGATTGACAAGTTGATTGAATCGAAAAGAAATTGAATTTGTTTCAATTTTTTTCAATCACAAGTTTCATTTTTTTTTTTTTTTTTGTTAAGAAAAATGAAAAATGAAATGATCTTTTGTTTATTATATCAAATTTTTCAGTTTGGTTTGTTTGAATTTGCTGATCAATGAATTTATTCATCAATTTTTTTTTTGTGTTCCCTCTTTTTGTAAATTTTTTAATATAATGAACAAAAAAAAACATTAAACAAAATGTTTTTTTGACCTCATTTCCTTTACATTTTGGATTTGTAAAAAACAACAACAACAACAAGGGAAAGTGAGAAAATTTCATTTTTTGTTTGTTTAGCTTAAAAAATTTATTTGATTTTAATTTTGTTTTTTGTTTTCCTGTACATATATAGGATATATAACCTCCGAGTACATTGGAACCTCGAATTTTATTTTCAATTTCATCATCATCATTAATAAATGAAAACAATCGATATTTTTTTCTGGATGAAAATTCAATTCATTCAATTTTTTGTTGTTGTTGGTTGCTTGACCATATATTTCAATCATTAAATGCAACCATTGATAATATTATCAACAATTTAATCAGCAACAATGACAGGTGATGATTGATTGACAGTTAAAATGTTGTTGTTTTTTAACTTTTCCATTGCCCTTCTAAATAAATATATCACGTTTTTCCTTTTACATTGATCTTTACACTTTGATGTTGTGTATAATCAATCAAGATTGAATCAGATGATGGAAAAAATAAAATAAAATTTTACCCATCTCCCCCCCAAATCTTTCGGTTAGTTTGTTGTTATGTATATCCCGAACGAACAAAAATAAAATAAAAATGCACATGGTCATAAAGGAAAACCCGGAAAATAAACAATTCTCATTATCATTATTTTGATTCGAAATTTGTAAATATAAACATTTAAGTTCAATCTGGGGGTAATCAATTGAAAAAAATAACTTATTGGGAGAGAGCGGTGGGGATAAGATAATATTGACAAAGAAGATGAAAAGAAAAAAAATACCGAAACAAAAGTGATATCCATGATGATAAACTAATTGGATAAATCATCAGATTAGTATCCGATTAGTTTTAATCTGCAGTAATCGATCAATCAATCAATCAATTGGAAAAAAAAATCAGAAATCAATTGGAAAATTTCTAATTTTCTTTTTCTTTTTTTCCCCTGTTTATTTATCATTCGGTTATCGATAATTAATAATTATTATCGAACAACGAACGAAACTTGCTGATTTTTCAAATTTAAAATTTTTGTTTTGTAAAAAAATCATGTATTTCCGAGGAATTTATTGAAAAAAACATAAAGTTGCTGTTGTGTAATGGCAATGTACATTTTTTTAAAAAATTTATTGAGGTTTTTGGTTTCCAATTTAGTTTTTTTAAAGATTATTATTAGCCATCAATCGAATCAAATCAAATTCAAAAAGATAAGATTCAAAAAAAAATAATAAATATAAATAACACAGGGTGTTTGGAAAAAATGTAAATATTCAATCATTTTAGTCTTATAGCATCATTTTGGTTTTAAATGTTATTATCAAGGCATATTATCAATATGGGAATGATTGACTACTATAGACAGACACAAACACCTGTAAATATAGACAAATTGAATTCATTTTTTGTTGTTGTCCTTGATTTGATTTAGAAATTAACAATACAATCGAACAATAACAAGTATATTAACACTCAAGATTAGTTATCAACTATAGTAACTATCTAATAACAAATAAAATTTAAAAAAAATATTAAAAGTGCATCTTGAAAACAAATTAATATCGATTTTATCTTGATTTATTAGTCCTTATGGTTCAAATTAGATTATCTATTAAGTATATAACGGATAGTTGTTTGGGTTTATTAATTTGATTAATTTGTTTGTTTTTTTTCTGTTGTTGTTTTTGATTCAAAATGAACGGATATTTAATAATCGCATTTTTTCTCAATTTTGGTTTCATTAGTTCATTTGAAGCTGATGAAGAATTTGCACCAATCATTAATCTTCGCCATGGTAAAGTTCGTGGATTGATTCGAACTATTGGTGAAGGTGATCAAAAAAGAAAAATACATTTTTATCAAGGTTTTCGTTTTGGTATGATTAATTCTTGCTGGATTTCATTCAATTTTAATATTAATTTTTTTAAAATTATTATCATTCCAAAGGATATGCTAATCGTTTTGAAAAGCCTATGATGGTAACATCATGGCCTGATGGCATTTACAATGCAACAAAAGAAGGCAATTCTTGTATACAATTCGCTCAGCAATTGGTTGAAAATGCACCAAATGAAAGTGAAGATTGTTTATATTTGAATGTTTATAAACCAGTTACGAATAATGAGAAATTATTACCCGTAATGGTTTGGATTTATGGTGGAGCTTTTCAAATTGGTTCAATATTTCTTTCATTGTATGATGCTTCTTTTCTAGCATCATATGGTGAAGTTATTGTTGTTTCAATCAACTATCGTGTTGGACCATTTGGATTTTTATACGGCGGTAATGATAATACTCCAGGAAATCTTGGTTTTCATGATCAGCTTCTAGGATTGAAATGGATTCAGGAAAATATTGAAAATTTTGGTGGCGATCCTAAAAGCGTAACACTTTTTGGTGAATCTGCTGGATCGATTTCGGTATCAGCATTAATTCAATCACCATTAGCTGAAGGTTTATTTCATCGAGCTATAATGGAATCTGGTGCCGCAGTATCAACATTATTCAATGATAAAAAAATTGCCTTAAGAAAAACAATAAGATTTGCTGTACAATTAAATTGTGATGTATTAGACCTTGAACAAATGATTGACTGTTTAAGAACAAAATCTATCGAAGATATCAAAAAAATTGTAATGCATGATTCGACTAATATATTATCTTCAAAATTATTTTCACCAATATATGGTGATGAAATTCTACCAATTAAGGCTATTCTTTATGAAAATTATCATAATCATGTTGACTTAATTTACGGTGCCACTCATGATGAAGGTAGCATTTTTACTCTATTATATTTTCCAGAATTAATGAATGATAAAGCAACTTTCACAATGAAAAAAATTCATGAAATGATATCAAACATGATGAATCAATTAAATATTAAAAAATCAAATGAAATTATTGATTATTACACGAAAACCTTAAATGCATCCAATATCAATGAAGTCCGGTAATTGTTATAATATGAGTTTTTATGATTGTTTTTAAATAGATTTTTTTTTCTCATACCATAAAGGAATGTTTTTACTAGAATTCTTGGAGAATACCTTTTGCTATGTCCAACAATGTTATTTGGTCAAAGAATGGCTCGTGATTATGGAAAATCAAACAAATTCTATTCTTATCGTTTGGATAAACGATTAGAATCGGCTCCTAAATTTGGATGTATATTCGAATGGATGGGTGTTTGTCATGGACATGATGTAGCATATGTTTTCGATAATCCAGTCATAAAAAGTTCTCCTGAAGATATGAAATTAAGTAATGAAATGTTAAAAGCATGGACAAATTTCGTTAAAACCGGCCAACCTGGTAAAGTTGGATCAATTGAATGGCGACAAGTATATGAAAATGAACAAAAAGATTCGGCATCAGTTATGTTGTTCAATGTTGAAAATAGAATGGAAAAAGGAATTTTCAAAGATGTATGCGGATTCTGGGAAAAAATTTATGACGAAAATGTTTGATTATTTATTATTTTAAGATAACAGCTTAAAACTGAAAATAAAAATTATCTAATTTTTAACTCTGAGATGATTGAAATGAATTTTGAACTTAAGAGGAAGGAATATCATCAATATGGGAAATGATAATCTACTTAGTTTCGATGGAACAGATTAACCGATGTACCACTGTATACTGTGTTTGTATTGTAACAAAATCACTCTGTATATTTATATGATGTTGGTGGCCTATAATGATAAATTTCTTTTTTTCCATATTGATTTTCAATACCAACAATATTGATTAATTCATTGATTGATTGATTGATCAATGTTTTGAGATTGATAAATGTCAATGAATGATTGGAATTTTTAGAAATAAGTAATACATTGCATGAAAATGTACAGAAACAAGAAAAAAACAATAATGTTCATGTGATTTATTTGAATGTTCTTTTTTTTTGTTCGTTTACTTCATTTGAATATTCAATATGAAAAAAAAATTTCATCTTTGCATTCGCGATCCAATTTTCCCACACACCAACGAATGTCTGGAAAAAATGAAAAAAAATAAAAATAGAGATGAAAAATGAAAAACTGGATTGTCATCAATTTTTTTTTTTCATTTCTTTTGGACATTCATTACATTCGTTTATAATCATTTTCTTTTTTCCGATAAATCATGATGCAACCATGTGATGTCTGTGAATTTTGTGATGAATGAAAAGTGTGTGTGTGGGTGGATGGGTATGTAAATAAGATCGATATTGAAGAATGTAATCAGGAATTTTATTGAAAATGACCAAAACATATATTTGAACAAACACCCGATTTTTTCTGGATTTTTCCACCCTCTCTCCAGCTCACCATTCGGCCCAAACCAAATGTACATTGTATTGAATTACTTTATTCATCAATCGCTAACGCAAACAAAACGCAAACAAACAAACAAAAATATTTTATTCATTTTTTTGTGAAGATTATTTGATTTTTTTAGTACATCAGATAAACAATGAAAGAAAATGTAAAAAATTTCTGTTAATCTTTATGTTGTTCTGTTTACCACCGTTACACTGTGTAAATTATCATTGATCACGATTTGATCACACACATTTCAACACGCACACATAAAGATAATGATAATGAGAATTTTGATTTGATTTGGTTTTGTCACTGCTATGCTAATCTTTTTAATGATTTCTATTGATTGTTTTGGTTCGTTTCTGAAAATTATCATTACTAATTTGATAAATTGTACATTGTAATGTTTATTGTAATGATAATCAATTTTATTTTATTTTTGATAAAATTTGAACAAATCTATCATATGTTGTTGTTGTTGTTGTTATTGAAATTGATAGGTGGATAAATTTCATTGATTTTAAAAATTTTTAAAGAGAATTTTCTTGGTTTGTTTTTCTTTGATGAAATGAAATTTTGTGTAATGAATGTTATTGATGAAACAAGGTATAAGGTCAAGTGATCTCTCTGTGTGTGTGTGTTAAGATTATGAATGTCATAACCTTTATCAACATATCCTTTATAAGATCCTTTTTATAATCTAATAACAGAACTTGTTTGTTTTTGTTTAAAAATTTTCCATTTCTTTCCACTTCTTCTTTTTCTTCTTTCCATCATTAGACTTTGAATCAAATCAAATTTACGAATGAAACAAGTGAGAGAGAGTGAGTGAATTAGAAAATGAAACTTTGAACCCATCATTTTTTTATTATTTTGGTATTAAAATCAATAATCATTCCATCACCAAGAGCATGAGAGAGAGAGAGAGAGTGAGTGAGAAAAAAAACAACCAGGCCGCCAATCGATTTGATTTGATTGATTGATGATGTGCGATGAAACAAAACTAAGAAGAAACAACAACAACAACAACAAGATTCTTTGATTCATTTATTCGCATTCTTTATTCAATGAAATAACATATTTTGATCGAATAAAGTTTTTTTTAGGTCAAAACTTGAACTAAAAAAATTTTATCATTCCAAAAATCTAGATCAATCGGATATTGTTCATATCCAATATATGTATAATAATCGTGAGGAAGAAAAAAAAATTGAAAAATTTGCAAATTATCATTTCAAACAAACAAGAAACAAAAAAACGATACAGACATAGACATATTGAAAAAAAACATAATCAGAAAATCTTTTCGAAAAAAAAATAATTTGCATCATCATCAATATTTTTTTTAAATTATATAATTAAAAAGAAAGAAAGAACTAAACTGATTGTATCAAAGTAATTACA